AAAAGTTACTCATGTTGTTCCACATGCTTTAAAATATGTGTCCAAATGTTGGGCACCACAATGACCTGCCTTGATTTAACCAGAAGACGGCTGTGGAGCCCAGCAGATTCAGGCTTGTGGGGAGGGCACCTGAACTAGGTCCCTCACTAGCTTTGGAACGCTGAGTGCTTCTGAGAGAGACACCATCTCTTCAAACAAAGGGGAAAACAAAACAAAAAAAAACAGTCGTATTCTTCCCTTTGATGTTGTTTTGCAAGATGTTTGTGGAAATGTTCATTTGTGTCTGGATTTCTGTTATGTGCCATTTTTCTTCTAGCGTCAAGATACAATTTAAAAAAAAAAAAGAAAGAAAGAAAAGAAAAGAAGAAAAAATACTATTTCAAGGAAAACTACTCTCTTTGAATAAAAAAAAAAAAAAATGCGGACCCAAACTACAAAATAGGGCCCGAGGAAGGAATTTCAAGAGAAAGGAACTAAATCCAGAGCTTAGACTCGGCCCCCAGTATTGAGCCAGGCAGAGACACTGGTACAGAGCCTGGGACACATTTCCACCCAAATCAAGTGCGGAGGCCAGCAGTGAACATGGCCGGGGCTCTTGGTTTTCTTTTTGAAATCCCCAGTCCTCCCAGCTTGGACTAAATATCCTTCATAGCCAGCAACTCTGGGAGACCCCAGAAGCCCAGAGAGACCCTCTTGGAGGGAGACATTTCATGTCTATCTGAATGGGTGGGGACAGCTCATCTGTCTGTCCCTACTTCTTCCTGCCGTTCTCAGGCCGCCCTGAAAAGAATTCTTATCCCAGTCGAAGAAAGTTCCAGAAACTCCAGGGTTTCTGAGAGACTGTCAAGGGAACTTAAAAATAAAAAAACTTGACAGATGTCCTTGGAGCAAGACTTCTCCCCTCTAGGGAGACCATGCGTTTGGGATTCTGCCGAGGCAAAGTCCCTTGTAGACCATCCTTTGTGGCCCTCTTAGTTCACCTGGCTTCAGTCTTGGGGACCAAGCCTGCTGTCACCATTGTCGAACAGTCTGGACCTAAGGTGGAGCAAACTTGAAGTCCCAGCTGACTAGGAGGTTGGAGAAAGAGGGAAATCAGGGCAAACCCTCCCCCTGGATATGTTCTCAGGATAAAACACATAGAGAAACATTGGGTTATTGACAAATGATCGAAGATAACCTTAGAAAACAGTGTAGGATGGATAGGTAGATAGACAGTTAGATAGATAGAATATAAGTGTATATTTATATACTGCACTCTACATTTTCCCAAATCTTGCCATTATTTTTCGAGTTGCCTAGTTGGCAGCAATAGATACTCAAGCCAAAGCCTCCGTTCCTCTAGCATGACCTGGCCAAGGGTGGGTTCGAGAAGCCTTCTGTGGAAGTGAGGGATCATTAGTCAGAATTCCTCCTGTTTCCTGTACCCAGGAATCCAGAAACAGAACTTGCATCATCTGTAATCTCTGGGGAAAAAAAAAAAAAAAAAAAACTTTGCAAATTTTTATCCAGGAAGAAAAACTTTTATTTTTGCCTTCATCCATTGATCCTGCCCTCCATTCACTCAGATGAGCATTTACTCAGCACCCAGTGTGTGCCCGGCTGGGTGCCAGGAGCACAGTAGGTCATAATCAAGATGCAATCTGTCCCCTGCCTCCTTTTCCTCTCGCATGCCATCTGCAGGGGAGGGCAGCCATTCAACAGGGAATTGAAATCAAGGTGTGCTCTAGAGATAAGGAGTCTCTGGATCAGTTAGGAACAGCTTCTTAACAAAGAAAGATATCATCCAACATCTTCACTGGCTTCCCTTTCTCTTTAGAGACCACAGTTTGAGGCTGGGTTTCTGGAACAATCAGATAGTGCCATGGGTGGGGAAGGAGAGGTAGGAGGGTCCACAGAACAACTCCCTTCTAGAAGACCCAAGGCACAGAATCACCGAAAAGCTGAGCAGAGGCAGATACCCACTCAGGTGTCCTCTTTCCATGGAGCAGGGCGGGGCTGGCCTGTCCAGCAGGGTTCTGAGTTGGAAGCGTCACCTCTCAGGTAGCATTTTTAGACTTCTGCAGGTACCACCTCTTCCCACCCTCTCCTTCAAGCACACGGTCTCTAGATGGCCACACCTGGTTCTTCCAGCCTCCCTGAGAACAGGCTGAGATGTTCCAAAAGAATTTAAACGAGGGGAGGATTTAAAAAGAACCAGAATCAGAAAATTCAAAGTCACCTCAACAGTGTCCTCGCTAGCTAGCCGTGGCCAGTCGTCCACCATTTGGCTTTCTTCTTTGGACTTCCCCTGATCGTCTTCTGCTCTTCTAAGATAGGATCGGGCCCCAGTCACAAGGACCTTCTTGGGGGATTTATCGGAAGCCCGTGGCATTTGTCACCTCCTCTAGATGAGGTCTGCTCTTCGCACACGGCTTCAGATGCCTTCGTCCCCAAAGGAATTATCCCAACCCAGAGGACCACCCTCTCCCAACTTCTGGGGTACAGTTCTCAAGTATTTTTCAGAAGGATCTACTCGCGGGACACAGGCCTTAAAGGCCGATGCTATTTGGACAGGAGGCTGCCTGCAGCCTGGGTCTTCACCAGAAGAGCCAATGAGAGACGGCTTCCCAAGTCAGGGATGGTGGGAAAACAGCTCTGCCCCAAGCCCCAGGGCCGGAGAGGCCAGGTAGGGCGACAGTGCCCGAGGAGACCCCAAGGGGGACAGCTGTCCATCTCCTAACTCCGGATAGGCCCGCCTTCTGTCCCCCACCCAGGCCCTCACACAGTTCAGTTTCCACTGGGGTTCGACCTAGTGTCCGAGGGGGGGATCCCGAGGGCCCGTGGGAATGGATTCAGAGTGAGATCCCTGGCTCAGGGTGGTTCTAAATGGGCAAAAGCCAAGAGGCGCACCCTCAGCCAAGCCTTCGTTCATGGGTTTATTCCCTCCACCGACACTCAGGAAGGGCCTCCTCCACGTCAGGGACTCTTCTTGGTCCTGAAAATACAATAGCAAAGAAGCAGACCAGGGCCCGCGCCCTCCCAGAGAGAAATCACAAATAAACCAGACCATGTCCGGAAGCAGTCAGTGCCATGCCGACAATTAAAAGGGTGCAGAGGGGTGCACGGATAATAAAGGGCAAGGAGGCACTGGAGTTTCCCCCTGGACACAGGAAGTGACACACAGAGTGCCCAGGCTTGGACACCCTCCCCACCCATAGCACGCGCTGACCAGGCAAGAGCAGGTGGAGCAGATGGGACATGCAGGAGGCGCCCCACCATCCAGAAAACGGCTTCACCTGTATCTGTAGCAGGGTCCTCTTTGGCCACACCCACCAGGATATTTCTTTTCTTTTCTTTTCTTTCTTTCTTTCTTTTTTTTTTTTTTCTTGTTGTTGTAAAACTGCTTGAATCGAGTTCTGTCCACATGACAAGCTCTGGGATGGGCAATCACCCAACTATCTTTCTTTCTCTCTCTCTTTTTTTGTGGTGCTGGGGATTGAACCCAGAGCCTTTTGCGTGCAAAGCACAACTGACCCACTAAGCTAGATCCCCAGCTCCCAAATATATTTCTGATACTAGTTTTGTCTCCCTCCCTCGCACACCCCCACTCAGACACCCCAAGGGGAAGTGGGGAACTGCACAGAGACATTTCGCCTCTATCAGGGGCACATCCTAAAAGAAGCAGCTCTGGTGAAAGGCGTTTTGCAGAAGGAAACAAGCCCAGCAATAGTACATCCTTATCCATTGGTGCCCATAAAGCCTGGATTTCAGTTCAGCCCCAGGAGACTGGCCAAACTCGAATCGGCCAGTCCTTTCTGACCTTGCCGCTCTGCAGTCTGACATAACTCTGGTTTCAGCCAGGCAACCTCCCCGGGGTCACTGAATCCAACGCATTATCTTTTATTGTTCTGTAATGACACCGCCATCAGGGCTGTCCCTGCAACCACAGGGGCTGTGTTGGGGCCCTACTTAGCAGTGATGTGGTCAGGTAAGACTCAGCCACCCACTGTGCAATCCTGGGCCAGTCACTTTACCTAGAACGGCCTCCATTTTCTCATGTCACACAATGGGGTGAGGACCCCAGCTCCACCTGCCCTCCAGGTGGGTGGGGTGAGGATGGGAAGAGGTCATAGACTGACAAGGATCCCCCAAAAGTTAGCACATCATGCAGAAGAGCTCACACTCTGATTGATGGTCCCTGGTCAAACTTGCCCCAGACTTTAGATAGTAAACTGGGGTTCATGCCCCACCCCCATAACACACACACTTAAAACCAGAGAGAGAAAGCAAGCTCAGACAAGCCGGGAGAATGGAGTCGTGGCATTTTTTAAGCCTGCCCTCACAGACCTTGGAAGCTTTAGGTTTTGTTGCTTAGGATGCTAGAAACATCTTTAGAGAGAACCTGTAGCTCACGAAGACCCAGATTCTGCTCTGCAAGGCTTTGGAGGTGGGCTTTGGAGCAGCCCCTTAGAATCCTGGATTGTACGAGCGAGTGTGGAGTGGACCCTGCTCAGCTCCTTTTGCGGAGCAGAGACCTGATTTCCCCCACGGGGCCATTTTAACTCTGTGCTGTGAATGGCTTCTTTTCCAAAGAAGGAGGCCTCCCAGACACAGGGGGTGCTGTTGAGCAGGTTTCTGTGCAGGACGCTCTATCTAATAGCTAATTCTCTGCTACTCTCAAAGACCACCCCCCCCAACACACACACACACACACACACACACACACACACACACACTGCCCCCAACACGCACCCACAACTCTTTAGGACAATCTTTAAAGAAACTCAGTGATTTATTTCCTTTCTCAAAAAAAAAAAAAAAAAAAATCCACAAGGTCTCTATACCCAAAGCCAACATGCAATGTGCAATGTGCCCACAAGGGACCTGCTAAAACCTGCCCCTCCAAGGCTCTTCCTGCCTCTGCTCTTGAGATGCCATCCGCCCGGCAGGCGCCGGCGTGTCTTGGTCACTTTCCTCCCTCTTCTGCTTGTGTTAATGTGTGTGTGCTTTCCGTTTGGCAGAGAGACAAGCGAGATACCTCCAACTTCGACAAAGAGTTCACCAGGCAGCCTGTGGAGCTGACTCCCACTGATAAACTCTTCATCATGAACTTGGACCAAAATGAATTTGCTGGCTTCTCTTACACTAACCCCGAGTTTGTCATTAACGTGTAGGTGAATGCACACTCCACTGCTCAGCCTGGGGTGCCAGACTTCAGGCCGCTGTGTACGTACCACTTCTAGTCTTCCAGGATCCATGGTGCCCTGTGCTGGCGTCCGGCATGAGGAGAGCTTGTCTAGAAGGCTTCTCTTTGTATGTGTAGCTTGCTAGTTTGTTTTCTACCATTTGAAAATGTTTAGTTTAGGAATAAGCGCATTATCCAGTGATAGAGGTACAATTTTCCAAACTTCCAGAAACTTCATCGAATCAACCAGACGATGTCAAAACTACTGTGTCTGACACCAAAATGCTTCCGTATTTGTAATTTTTAAAGTCAGAAGCTGATGTTCCTGGTTTAAAAAAAAAAAAAGTTTTTACAGTTATTCTCTAATATCTTCTTTGAATGCTCAGCATGACCGGTATTTTTAAAAGTTGTAAGCTTTGCAGTTACTGTGAACTATTGTCTCTTGGAGGAAAACATTTTTTTTTGTTTTGTTTAAGAATTGATATGATTAAACTGAATTAATATATGCACACTCTCTCGCTTGTGTGTCTGTCTTTAGGTCAACCGGCTGGTATTGCCAGCGGATTGAACTTTCATTTCACTGGGGCAGAAATTTTATTTAATTAAAATCGTCATTAACATTTTGGAAATGGGATGTTTTAAATGAATTTCCAGACCTTCAGATTCCCTGGGGGTGGAGTGGCGGGAGGGGGTGGGGGCACATGGGTGTGTGACAGGCTTGATGACCTCAGTATTTCCCTGTGCCCATAATCCGGGTACCTACACAGTTGTCTAGTCCGTGTGGTTTCATGTTTATCATTAAGTACAAAATGCATAACCAAAAATTCATCCCACCCATGACCGAGGCCAGGAAGGAGGCTGGCCTCTGTACAGAGGGCACTTTCTGTGGCCTGTGAGGGTGTTACCATTTGGAAAAGGCACACACACCTCTCTTACTGTGCTACCCTAATTCCGCTTAGCATCTGCAAACGAACAAACAAAGACAACAGAAAAAAGAGGGCCCATTTGTCAGCCACGGAGGCCCAGGAGAACTTGAGGAAATAAGGCAGGTTGCTTCTCCATGTTTGGGGCATGATAAGGAGTCCCCGCGGGGTGAGTGAGAGCCCAGTGTCACGGTGCTGCTTCTCTGTGTCCGCTGGATGCTGTCTTCTCTGAATGAAATCCTGCTTCCAGTTTCTTTTTGAAAGATGTCGTCATCCCATCGGCAGCACATGTCTGCGTCACTGCTGAGGCTGGCGGGTAACCGGAGAGCAGACCTGTCACGCTCAGGCCATTAGGACTCTCTCTCTACGGGGTTTGCTCATCTCCTTTCTTGGAGCAATTGGCCAGACAGAGTGAATCCATTGATCCTACCTAGTGAGCTCATCTTGGCAGAATTTTGGAAACTCTGCCAGTTAAAATTGGCTGGAGCCAACCTCAACTTGAAGGAGAAACTGTGCGTTCTGCATACCCTATTTAGAAAACAAGAAGCCATGGGTTTTCTTCTAGAGGTTTCTAGACGGGTTCCACTGAAGATGGCATTAGAGAAGAGGTTACTATTGCATGCCAGCTTCTCCCACTTTTCCATCTGCTAGATATAAACCCATCTTTTATTGAATAAATATTGAGTGCCGACTCGGAACCCCGTGGAGTCCTGGGTGCTGGGGCGATGGAGACCAACAAGATAGTCCAGAACTGTCCACTCATGGGGTCAAAATGGCTGCAGAAGATCCAGCCTCTCATCTTCTTAGGATCAAGTCCCATAAGAAAGAGTGGGAGCTTCTGTAAAAGTCTTCTTCTGTAAAGCTACCTGTTTTTACTCTGGCTCAGCCTGTTCACATGTGAATCCCTGAACCAAACTCTGGGGAGAGAGAGAAGGCAGATTGGTTGACTGAACCACAGTTGTACCAGTTATCCATTGCTGTGTCACAAGCACCCCCCAGACTCTAGAGCAACAAATATTGATTATCTGTTAATCTGTGTGGATCAGGAATCTGGGTATGACTTAGATGGTTTACAGCCTCTTACGAGGTAGGCCAAGTTGCACATAAAGTCAACTGGGATGATCTGGAATTCACTCCCAAGTTTCCTGACATAATTCTTGGCAACTTCAGTTCCTTACCACATAAGCCTTTCCATGGGGCTGCCCCTGGACACAGGACCTGGCTTCCCCTAGGGCAAATGATTCCAATGAGAGTGCCCATCGTGGAAATCGCAGACGTTTTATAACCTAACCTCAGAAGTGACATCCCAACTTGTCGCTGTTTTCTTTTCTTTAGAATCGAGTCAGTTATTTTCAGCCTGGGGTCCAGGGGATTATCCAAGGTGAAACTGTTGGAAGGTCAAGATCCTTGGGGACCATCTGAGAGGCCATTGCCACATGCATCGCGAGCGGCACCTCCGCCGCTAGGGTCAGAGTCATGCTCAAAACACAAGAACGGAATTCCACAGCGCTCTGCCCACCAATTGGAATGGGTTCTTGGAACAAAAGGGATATAGGTTCGGGAAGCATATTCAGATTCTCTGTGGACAGGAATTTTAGTCTACCCCAAAGATTCGTGGCAGCTGGTGACGTATGAGACGCCATTAAAGGAGTGGCTCCCGGCTTTGCCTTTGACTGTGAAGGTCAGTATCACTTCACAGCCTCGTTCACTGCCTGAGTTCCACCCTCTGAGGAATTATAGGCTTTCGCTTTCTGGGCCTGAAAAATCCACCCACGAGATGAGCCGGGAGAAACGTTCACATGATAAAAATCTACATCAGCTGCCTAATGCCGAGCCACACACCACCTCAAAGCCAGGGGATTTTCAAAAATGCCATTTATTTGGCTCACGAGGGTGGCTTCTCTGGTCTAGCCACCAGCTTATCTCTGATGGACTTGTCCATGTATCTTCAGGCAGCGGGAAGCTCAGCTGGTGACAGTGTCAGGAGGCCCTCATTCACTTCTGGGTGTCTGATGGCCTGGTCAGTAGGATGGCTGTTTTTGTTCTGAGTGCTCTTGGGTGGTCCAAGAGGCTAAGGTGGGCTTCTTCACAGAGTGGGTTTAGTGACTCCAAAGGGCAGGACTAGGAGACAAGCCCAGTGCTCAAGGGCCCACCAAGCCTTGGCTCCTTTCCCATACGGTAAATCAGCAGGTGGAGAAACAGACTCCTAGAATTCACTTCTAAGGCACTCACATGCTAGGACTTAGTTCCTTGTGGGCTATTCGATTGAGGTTGCAGTTCCTCACAGGTTTTAGCAGGCGGATACCTTCAATTCTTTGCCATGTGAGCTTTTCCAAAATTGTAGTGTGTCCATCTGTTTGCTGTTGCTAGAACAAAATACCCGAGACGGGGTCATTTATGAAGAATAGAAGTTTAGTTAGCTCACAGTCATGGAGGCTGGGAAGCCCAAAAGCATGGCAATAGTGTTTGCTGGGTATCTAGGGAGAGTCTTCTTGCTGCTTTAGACTACGGGCGGCAGGCAGTGCCAAACCACCCGGCATAGGCCCATGGAGGAGAGGATGGCAAGTTTGTGATCAGTTTTCTATTCATCACACAGTCATTCCCCGGAATTATTAATGGATTTAGGGAGCATCAAAGATATAAGACCGATGGGAAAGGAATTGCTTCCCCATGGTGCCTTCCATCCCTGCAGAGACACGACACCAGATTTTAGGCCTGTCTGTGGGATGACCAGAGTCAGCCTCAGAGCAGATGATAGAGACTCTTCAAACCAACGACGACAAACTTAAACCCTCTGATCTAATTCCTGTCATGTTTTCTTTCTTTATTTAAAACCTCGAATGCAAGCTGAGATGCCGGTGTAATCAGGAAGGAATACAAAGCAAGAAAGAGATGGACCCGAATCTGGGACATCCAACCAAGTACCACCCTGTCAATGCCCGACTCCCCAGACCCGAAAGCCAGGCGTCTCGGATCCCGTATTTTTGCTTGTTGGGAGAATGCCGTGACCCACAGGAATTCTCTGGCTCACCGCCTCCTGAAAGCAAGCAGAGTGAATCTGGTTCCCAGAGTGAATCCTGATTTTCCAAAAAAACAAAGGGTGGAGCTCAAGGCCTGTCCAGAGAGTGAACCACCACACCCTGTCCATCGTGGATGGTCGTCTCCTGCAGTCTGGTCTCTCTGACATATGGCTCGCTCAAATTAGGCCGCATGTCAGGGTGAGATGACAGTGACATTTAGAAAAGAGATACAAGGACTCTGTTCTGTTTTTGCCCAGGGACTTCCTCTTATGAGGTCCAAGAGACAAATGCATAACGGACAGTCCTGAGCCAGTGGAATTTATGACTATTTGAAGATATGGCTCTTTATTCAATATGAGATCTTAACCCTCTTGTGGGCTGGCTTTTATAGGGAAATCCTAGATACATGTGTCTTCTCCTCTATGGCTGTTAACAAGTGTGACACCAACACTTAGCAGCTTAAAGCAATGCACATCTGTTATCTTAGTTTCAGCCTGTTGGGAGGCTGAGCAGGGTTTAGCTTAGAACCTTCTGCTAAAGGTTCCACTTGGGAAGAATTCACTTCTAAGCCACTCACAACTAGGATTTAGTTCCTTGTGGGCTATTTGATTGAGGTTGCAGTTCCTCACAGGTTTTAGCAGGTGGATACCCTCAGTTCTTTGCCATGTGAGCTTTTCCAAAATTGTAGTGTGTCCATCTGTTTGCTGTTGCTAGATCAAAATACCTGAGGCTGGGTCATTTATGAAGAATAGAGGTTTAGGTAGCTCACAGTTATGGAGGCTGGGAAGCCCGAAAGCAAGGCAACAATATTTTCTGGGTATCTGGGGAGAGTCTTCTTGCTGCTTTATAACATGGTGGAGACAGAGCAAGCATGCTAGCTTGGATCACTCTTCCTCTTCTTATAAAAGCATTAATGCCATCCTGAGGAACCAACCGTCATCCTATTTTAATTACCTCCCCAAATCTTCCCCCTAATACCATTAACACAGGAATCAGGGGATTAAATTTCCAACATATGAAATTTGGGGGAGCAGATTCAAACCAAAGCAGGCAGCCTACTCCAACAAAGTGCATGAGGCAAAAGTCCTTGTAAGGAGAAAACCAGTCAGACGGACGTTCCATTCTGCTGTCACTGGATCACAGAAGGGACAGTACATCATTTTCTCTGTGTACTCTTCATCACTAACAAATGACACACTCCACGGGAGGGAATTACCCAGGGGCGTAGATAAGCAAGGCGGAGATCCCTGGGAGCCACATCAGAAGCTGTCTAGCTCATAATATACCGTGGGATCGAGGACAGGGGTGTCTTAGGGCTGTGGCACTAGGTCCAATGAGTGTGCTCCATCTTCTTTTTTTGGAGGGGTGCCTACTTCGTTTATAGCTCATGTGAATGACCATGTTGAGGGCCCACAGGAAAGTCACGGGCCCTGCAAGCAAAGGAGGAGTGAGGTCAGCGGAGGGTCTGCAGTGCGGCTGGTGGGCTCCATCCTGCTGAGCAGGATCCACCCTCCTAGGTAGAGGGGAAGTGGAACTGGGGAGGGAGACCATGGTCACGCTTGCTCGGG